TTTTCGGGCTGTGTGGGAGATGCCTCCGGAGAGGACGCGATTTCCCTATATGAGACAATCTGGGAAGCCGGTCGCGTGTGAAAGGATGATGCGATCAAGTAATCATTATGTACCAAAAAGTCCAGCAACTTAAAATAATTGGTGGTGTACGTGTCGTCCGCAGGGGCGTCACATAAGAAGACTGCTTTACCGATATGTGCCGAAAATTCTTCCAATTCCGTCGGGATGATTCTTGCGTTAAGGTCTCCCATATAGAGAATCAAGGAAGGGCGAGAAAGGTTCCGATGGATTTCTTGGAGCTCGTCCCAAAATTTATCTTTTCGGGCTTCATCCGCTTGGGGGTCCGATAGCTGACTAGGCGCATATAGCGTTACTAAATGAGTCAGAACCGGTTGCGTGCGTAGAGTCAAGACCGCTATGCGGCCCGAATAGGGGAGAAAATCTGATACCAGTGGTAGGCGGTGGGCGGGGATGTAAAAGCCCACCCCTGCCATGTGTTCTGTGGGCGTGCCGGAGAGGAGGAGTTTACCTCCACCAATTTTACGTTCGTCTGAGGAAGTTGATTTCGTCTCCTGCAATGCCAGGATATCAATTTTACGCTGACGAGCGAAGCCCGCAAGGGCTTCCTGTTTCCCATGTCCAATCAGTGTTTCAATGTTGAAAGTACAGACGTGCAGTCTGTTGCGTTCCGGGCGCCATCCTAGAAGGCGCGTAGGCAAGTCTAACAGCGAAGGCTGCACATAAGATCTAAATAGGTGAGCGCGGGATCCTATAGTTTGCGCTGTGTTCCCTCTGCCATAGGCTCTTTCGAGTTGGGCAGGGCTATTCGTTACCCTTTTCGGAGGGAGCCTGGGAAGGACTAGGGTAAATTTTCCATCCTCCAGCGCGTCACGGACCCATTGTCTATAATCCCGTCTGGAGCTAGAGCGGCTGACGTTGTACTTAGACTGTCGCGCAAGCATCGCTGTCGTGGCCTAAGGCATTTGATGCTTTCGTGTTCCCTCCGACGCACAGCGAGATTCGTGACCACTAGCCATTGCTAGAGTGTGGCGGTTGGCGCCATTATGTAAACTAAAGAAGTTACGAAGTAATTGTTTGGGGCGGCCGTGGTCCCCCGGCGTGCCTCTGGCGGCTCTCGCAGCACAAATGTGACCGTAGAGATTGCGTGCTTTAGTCCCATAATAGACGGAATAGTGGCGGGTGCCACGTCTAAAGAACCACAAAGAGAGGTGGGCACTGCAGTAATGGTATTTATGCACTGCCATTCCATTCTTGAGACAGATCGGCATCGAGTGAAAAATTTCAGGACAGTACGAAAACTCTCTGTCAACTAGCGAACAGTTGCAAAGTCTACACCAATGGTTTCCCCTCAAAGCATGCAGAAAGCGGTTGCGATTTTTTCTCGACACAAACCAAAAGTCCGTTGCGGCGTCCGTTGCAGCGTCTTGACGGCCCTTGGCAAAACAAGACGAACTAAAGGAAGACCCTGGCCTCTCAGAACCCTGAACCTGAACGGCAAAGGGGAACCGAGGGCAAACAGGAAGAAAAGGCTGGCACAGAGGGGGCGGGCCCCCGAGTTCGATCGTGGGCTTCTCTGGCCCTGTAAGGAAAGAGCATTGCTCTTATTATTGGCAATCGGTGCTTTCCCCAAAGGGATATAGGCAATCAGTGTCTTATTGGCAATCTGTTGCTCCCGGTGGGAGCTAATGGTAATCCTGGCGCTCTCCAAGAGCAACATGAGTGAGTGAGTGAGTGAGTGAGTGTCGACCGGCACTTACGATGCGGCCTACCTCCCACGTCCCTCTCAACATCTCGGGGGCTCCGCAAGCGTCATCGCCTCCCTCCGTCCCAGAGTTCAAGTGGGGGAGAAACTAGCTAGTGCAGACAGGTCACGGTGTAGAATACTAAGATACATGTTTCAACCCAAGAATCGGAGAGGCATAGTCCTTGATCAGGGATAAAGCAGGCAGGAGGCCAAGCCAGACGTCACCAACCGATAATACTTATGCTTGTATGTGCCAAAGAACACACCAAGTAACCGGCAGCAGACGCAAAGAGTTGCAAGGGGGCGAACCGTGCGGCCAGTGCCGAGGGAGCGAGGCTCCATGCACAGAGGGCACACACAAGGCGACCCAAAGGCGTGCGCCATGTGCAGAGGGAACACTGTTCCAGCACCGAGGGCGAGCACGCCAACAATCAGGTACAGTAAATGAACATGCACACCACCGCGGCAATGAACAGCACAGAGGCGCAGCCCTGGAACAAGGCCGATAACAAAGGTAGCAATCCAGGGAGCTGCTAATGCATATGATGAGCGTGGAATACCTCACATATACACTGGATGTCCTCAGGCCCATGATGGGTGGAGACGTCGGCATCGTCGGATCAGTTGCAACAACAGTTGAGCCAGAATACTAGAGGGCACTGTCGCCCTAGCACAAGGGAGGGGGGGAAAGGGGGTGCTCATCGGGCAAGAGCCCTTAGTGCCGCCGCCCGGGGTCCACACCATTCCAAAAGAAACCCCCGCCCCAAAGAGAGTGCTAGGCCCGGGGGTCCAAGAGCAACATAAAGGCAATCTGCCGAAAATCGCTGCTTTGAGGACGTGGGGTATGCCTTAAAGGGTCGAGGAAAAAAAGGTGTTTGAGAGTTCGGGTGGCTTTGGGCCTGTTGGAAGTACACGTTGATAAGCTTCAAGTAGGTCTGTGGAGGTCTCCGTGGACTGCTGAAAAAAGGGCCCTGGGCCGATGGTCAGTAGACCGAAACAACTTGTACCCAAGAGTATCTAGTGTCCTTGTGCTGGTGCTGAAACATAGCCCATGCTGTGCGCCATGCTAGCAGGTGCGCACCCCCTTCTGCCAATGCTAGCATCAAGGTTTCCATGATGTTGCCTTTGTTGACATGGGCCCTCCATTGGACCGCCTGTACCTCCTGTGTGCTGATCTGCATTAGAGGCAATATGTATTCAAGCAGTTTCACTAGCTGGTCGTTGGGGGCCTGGAGTTGGGACTTCTTGGTGTTTCGGAGGACTCCATAAATCGCAGCTATCTGCCAGAAGACAGCGTCGAAATACAATGAACCAAATCCTGCCGAAGTTCCCACACCCTTATTGTCAAAAGGAGGGGTAGCTTGGATGCAGGCTTTGAGGGTGGGGTCGTTGTCTAGATACCATACGAATTCCTCAGCAAGGGTCTGAAAAAGGTCTGCGGTAGTGCGCTTCCATGCTCCTTGCATTAGCCATTCTAGAACGGGCTGAGTCCACGCTAGGTCTGGGGGATTTTCCTGTTCCTGCTTGGCCTGTTCATATGCTAGCCAGAGGGAAAAAGCAATCATCCTATCCCAGGGGAGCATAGGGGAATGGGAGACATCTACGATACGCGCCCAATCTCCCAAGTTGTAGTGCGCCGTTAGGTCTGCAAATTGTTTGGTCCACACTTCCTTAAAGTACTGCGCAAACCAGGATGCAGTGTAAAAGGTGGCCTGGAGAACTGGTTCGTACAACGGGCCCCACATATTAACGATGTGTTCCTCCGTAAGGGCCCAGCTAGGGTTAGTCCAAGGAAGTCGTGTTGGATCAGGGCTGTCAGGTCTGCTTCAAAAATACTTACCACCCAGTAGGCGGCATGTTGCTGGGGCGAGAAAGAACTAAAGGTCGCACCATCATAGGTTTCTTTCATTGCTGTGATGAATTTGGTGGTGACCTCAGGGGCTTGCATAATGGGGTCAAGATCAAACAATATGCGATCTAGCTGCAATACCATGCACTTTGTTGCTGTGGGGAGAGAGGTCCAGAAATCTTGGGCCTGTTTGGAGGACCAATACTTACGGTGTTCCTGACAAAAGCTACAGTTCTGTGCAAAACCCAGGGGTTTATCACAGAGTTGCTGATCGTTGGTGGTACAGGGACATATGAGGGTCTTCCAGGGAACCGTGTCTTTCCACATGAAACCGGGGGGCACTGGGTGTTCCTTACACTTTGGGCAGTCAATGCAGTAACCCAGGGCACAGGAACAATGGTCGCAAATAAACCTTTGTTGTGGGGGGTCTGTTGCTGGTGGGAGCCTTTGCCCGAGCCTCCGAAAATTGGGCCTGTAGGTGTTCTAGAGGGGGCCCAGGAACCTGAACTCCAGGAACCCCAGCTATCATTGTTATCCTGATCGTCGTCCTTCTTCCAGTTGGTTCTGGTATCATGGTCGCGTTCTTTCCATTGGCCCTTGGCCGGTCCTTTGTCTTTGGGTTTCTGGTACTTAGCATAGTCAGACCATCCAGATTTCTGGGACCATCCTTGGTAAGATCGGTGGCTGCTGCCTTTGCCCATCTGGGGGGGGGTTACGAGGTCTGAGATGTGAAACTACTGCCTGTGATTGACTTCTGTCCATATGCACAAACTCGTTCACCATTAAAACGCGTTCGGCACGTGACATCAAAGCTGACCGATCAACCTAGTATCAACTTGACAACCAAAAGAAGAGCATCTTGCACCTACTCAGACACGGGCAATCAATTGATGCGGCTACCATAAAAGTAAGGAATTGGAGGTTCTTTTTGCCCCTTTATACAGCTGCACAACCATCTGAACTGCTGCAAGGCCAGGAGGTGAAATGGAGGTTTAGGGCTCCTGGCTTCGGGTTCCGACTTTTGCTGCCAAGGGTTCGAGGCCTGCGAGTTGAAGGCTTAAGGCTCCAAGCAGCTGCAGCACCAGCCGACTAGTAAACAAGCTCAGCCTTGGCAGCACGAGTACACATTAACGTTATTACCCCGCCCTCCCATTTCCCTAAAGGCCCAAGATCGGAAGTCGAAACAACACGAGAAAACGCTGGCTGGACAGAAATCCATATGGGCTAGCACAAACTACGTTTGCACATCAACAGCTTTGCGCACCTGCAGGGCTTCAGCGCCAAGATGCTGCCCAGCACTGGCACCAGTCAACACGCACGTCGACACAACCGCGTGACAAACGTGTTGAAAGTTCGATACAGATGACACTCGTGACGTGACAAGTGTCACTGGCGTGGAATGCAAGCCACAACCAAACAGTTCTCGTGCCTCAGGATTCCAGCTGGCTGTGGCACTGAGATTTGAGCGCTGCCTCGGGAACAGGCATGCGATTCGCAAGTTTCACATTCGTCTGCAGATGCGCCGTGCCAAGATGAGACCTAAGCTACGTCATCTAGCAGAACTACACAGGAAAAACTTACCCGAGCAGTCGGCAACCCAACAGGGAGCACTAGGTATGCTGCTTGGAAGCAACAGGCTGGAACTGTCCATGGGATAATACTACTTGGCATCACACTTGAGCCCCCGCGCCTGACAGCAGGATGTGCAGACCTTCGATCTCAACACCATAATTCACGATCACCTCCTCCTGCAAACACAACTGGACAGTCGAGACTGGCGTTGACATCATGTGCTCTAATCTTATGCTTCTTCTGGGTTACGACGACTCCTGCTCGTAAGCACGAACTTGAGAAATCTCGGCCACCTGACAGCACTTCACTGTGGCCCGGGGACATCTGATTCTTGGACATGCACAGCAGGCAAGTGTACTTCGCTAAGGTTCACTCTCGTTCCAGGTCCTTTTCATCCAGGCTGGCAAACATGGGCACCTGCCTGCGCAAACCCGATGCCAGAAAAGCTGGAACCGGAAGGCTCAGAGTCTCCACACGGCGAACCGAATGATGCTACCGAAATACACCCCAACGGCAGCGATCGCACTTTGCCGCATGTGCCACCCGGTTGCGTTGCAACTCCGTGCACCGTGGGCCACGGAGCAGGTGACACAGGACGCAACTCTGCCTGAAGCTTCGGGCCGACCGACACGAAATTCAGAACACATGAATCAGCTACCCAGCCGGCCAAGTCTGATCCAACGCTATTCCACGGCTTTTCGGCGCGAACCGGCTCTGTGTTGACTTTTCGGGCTAACTTAGGGATTGAGATTTTTCGGCTGAGGGTTTTGGATTGAGGTTGGCTCGTTGTTTCTCGGATCATGCTTTCCGGTGCCGGAAGTGCCCATGCATACCCGGTCATGCAATGAGAGGCAAGTCGTCGCCACCACGGTCTGCTCTAGATTGCCTGCCGCCTGCGCTTTCCTCTGCCCCGAAAATGACAGACCGAGCTTCTGGTCGGAACGCGCGAAGTGGTCCCACGCCGTGATCGAAGTCCACTACGACAGGCAAATGCACCAGTGCCAAGTCTGCCGGAAGCAATTGGAGTCGTGGAGGCCACGGGCTTGACAGCTTTGAGAGTCGACCTTGCTGCTTTGATTGAAGGGAAGGCTGGAAGATCACGGGATCCAGTATTCCCGAACAAGATGCTGCTCACGCATGCTCACGCCGGAAGACATCTACCACTTCTGCCTTGCCTCAACTGCTGCAGGGTCTCCTCTCTGCCAAGTGGTGCACCCTGCGTTCACCGAGAAGTGTGTGGCATCTGGAACACAAAGAAACCAAAGGAGTAACAGAAGTCCATACAGGTACAACGGACAAGCCTTGGGAACTTGCGTCATCTCGGTCACCCGTTTGCCTCGTGCATATCGCATCACTGCTCCGATCCTACAGCTGCAGGCTGTTGGTACCCAGACAGCATGCGTCTTGAGCCCCACACGGTTTTTGCGACTGTGCCTTCGAACAGTAAAAGCGATTGCATAACACATCTGTGCGCCAGAACTGCACATCTCAGGTCGCTGCTTTACTTCCTCTGTTCCTTGGGAGCAAAGGCTCGAGGCCAACGTGGCAGACGTCAGAGCTGGGCGGTGTGAACAGTGATCCGCAGCTTGGGCGGCCAAACAGCTGGCACAACTGAGGACCCCACGCGAGTCCGACTCGGAGTCGTGATCGACTTGTCTAGGAGGCACCATCGACATGACTAAGTCAACAAGTTCACATGCACACGCGAGGGTTGATTGCGAGACACAAGCCAACTCTGCAAATACTGTGACACCGGAAGATCGCCGGAGCTTTGCACGTAAGCTTCGCACCGGAGTCCGTCTTGACTATCGCAGCTGATGCTGATGGCGAGACCACGACTCAGTGAGATGAACAGCTACGTTGGACAATTTGCTGTCGCTTCTGTGTGTCTCGAGTCTGCGGCATGAATCAGATGGAACCACTCCATAGTCGTCCGGATCCACAAAAGTCGGTGCGTCGTGCGAGAACGAAGGCACCGCGGCGGTACCTCACATGTTCGAGCACAGGCCCTGCTATGGATCACCTCCAGAAGCTCAGAGGATCGTGAGCCAGGATGAGCCAGGTTCCTTGAGCTTCTTGAGCTTGAGTTCCGAATGACGCTCGCATGTCATCACAACGTGCAGTTGACAGTGAAAGGTGCTTTTGACTAGTGCAGATACCAGTACTAATAGTAGTGCTAGTACCGGTGCTCGTATTGGTCTCGTACTTACACAAAAGCATCAAATACACATACCAACACTAACGCTGATACTGCTACGGAGACTGATACCAACCTATCCCAGCACCACAGAACGAGGCCTTCGGCATGAGCTTGATCCCTGGGGCAGAACTTTTACAGTTGAAAGAACAAATTGTGCTCTGCCGCAACTTCGACAGCGTGTCTGGGTCTGGGTCGCTGACCGAGCTTTCTGAACCTGAGAGGTGGGCTGATATGCACATGCCTTCAGAAGAACGCAAGCACTTTTTTCTGTCGGCGTAGGAGTGCCCACTGCGACTCCTATGCCGTGGGCCGGCCGGCACGGCGTTCCAGCTGCTGCTTCAGCTCGCGTTGCTCACGCTCAGCTTGTTCCTGAGGGGACACCGAATCTAGCAGCGCTGTTCAGCAAAATAGAATGAGCACAATGGAACAGCTTTCGGGTTTCTTCCGTACTCCGGGTGCTCATGGCCTGGAGCAGGCCCGTGGAACCGAATGCTTAGATCCCGGGTACTAGGTGCCGAAAGCATCAGACACTCCTCTCTTTAGCACATTTGGATGCTGTGCTTAGCTGTGCCTGCAGTGCTCTCACACCCGCCTGGCGAAGGCGCACACGCTTCGCAGCGAAGTTCTGCTTTTCCTGTGGAAGAAGACTGTGCAGCCATCATTTGCTTGCGTGAAACACGGCACCGCGTACACTTGCGAGATCTTGCGAGGCTAGCAGAGCCTCGCGGTCGAGCGCTTCTTCCGCCGGACCGAACATGCCGTACACGACGGCTGCAGCGCATGCGAGGAATGTGGCAATCCTGGGAGCCAGCACCAAAACCGGCAGGAAGGTTCGGCCTCATGTGATAAAACTGTTATCTACACCTGCGACCTGCAACATCCTCAAATATTCACCTTTTCACGATCCAAGCGCCTGCAATACCAAGCCGCGATATGCCGGACAAACCCTGGTTACTTGGAGGTGGTTGACGCCGCGCCGCATCCTTGAATGATGTCGGTGCAGTGTGGCCAACAAGTTTCTTCAGCAACCTTTCTTTCAATTTCTGTCAATGGCCAGGCGGGACATCACAAACTGCCGATTACAAATGACTGCACTTCATGTTGCCTCTAACTCTCCATCTCAGGAACAACAGCAAGTGCTACCTAAAAGCATATGATGTATGTTGCGTCCATGCGGTAGGCTTCCGACCCAATCTTTGCTCTTGTACGCAGGTTCTGGCCCATCGTGCCTCTGCCTCCCGACGGGTGGCTCAAGGACGCGACTTTTGAACATCCAGTAGCTCTTTAAGCGGCATCTTCTGCTGATAGCAAGTCTCGATCATGCCCCGCGCTAGCCTGCGGTCTGGTCTCTTTGCAATGCCTCGCAATTCCTGCAGCACTTCGGCATAAGCGTCCTGACATCGTGTGTAGGTCAGCCAGGCGTCCTGACCCATAAAACCTGCAGCTACATTGAAAGCCATTCTGCTGTGTTCATGCGTTCGGTGTCCCCCTGCCCCAGGGCCCCACTCCTGGAGCTCACGAAACTTCCTGGCGGCAACCTCCGAGACTCAACATCACTGCGCAGGTGAATGAAACTAGCTCGAGGGATCCTCGCTGTCGCTGCCGGAAGGCTGCATGTCGGGGTGAACGGCCTGTCAAATTGTCATTCCTTTGGTTTCCGCAGCAACACTGGCACATCACGTCATATGTATCATGCGTGCCTTCGCACGTTGGCGGAAAGCTTTCCGGACTTCCTGACACGCCTACATGCAACGCATGTTACCTCGTCGGTTCCTCAGAAGCTTTGGTCGGTGAAAACCTGCACAGCACCAGAAGTCCTCCTCGTTGCAATTCCAGCTGACACCGAGTTTTTCCCGTGGCGATGTAGCGAACTTTCGGCCGCTTCGCCTGCATGTGGTAAGCAGGTGAATCTCACGTCCCAAAACCCACGAAAGCCAAGTCAAGTCCATTGACACCACCCTCACATTTATGTTTGTAACTTGCTTCATGACCTTTGTGTATGTTGTCAATGTTGTGTACATATGTCTAATACATGTGTGGATATGTCGTGGGTTCAAGGAAAAGAATATATGCGCACACGTATACCCGTGTATTCATACTGGGCTTGGGACGGGCTGCCGTTCGGTAATCCTCATGTACACCAACTTGCATCCAGTTCATATCTTTTTAGAACCTGATACCGACCACTCCGAACAAAACACGTCACGACCAAAAGGACTGCAACGTGATACCAGCCTGCGCATGAAGCATGTAGTTACCACGATGTTTTTCGTCGCCAGGGCCCGCTCGCACGAACTAAAGCAAAGTGGAGCTCAGATAACGCCACCGTTGCCTTTCTTGCTTTGCGCGGCTCCTATATCGCTAACATCGCCAAGGCCAGTACTGGACCATAGCACGAACCAGTGCTGGATACAAACCCACAGATTCAAGCTATTCAGGGCAACAGTTACCGGTAACATTGGATGTCCGTGTCGTGAACACAACCGTGGCCTGACACAAGCCCGTAGCAGCTACAACTGCAGAAGCCCCACCTTCTTGCGAGCAGCGCTTGCTCCACCATCGGGCATATTGACACACGCATCTTCGATGGCTAGTGTCCAACATTTTGCCAAAATGAGCCAATATGCATGTTTCGACTTTCGCTCTGCTGAAGCTGGGAGATGCATTGTTGATTAGTGCCGTTGCTTGGAACAGCGGCGGGTGCAATATCCTGTAAGCAATGGCCGCACAAGCTCCGTTTGCGAAACCACCGGAAGCACGAGCTGAGGCCCATGACTAACAGCCTTCTTGGCGAGGTTTCCTGGCGCACACCCGGCACAATCCCCGACGGGACAACCAAAGCCTGCCAACCAATCTTACGCTGTCCAACAACTGTCGCATCACGATAGTGACCCAGCCAACCAAAAAGTCAACCTCCAAATCTATGCTGTGGGACGCTGCTGCTGGATGTTTCGTCCTCCATCACTGCAAATTCGAGCAACGACTGCGCCCGAACGCGGCGCGATGCGACACTGAGCCGGTCCAGCCTCGTGTCTTCTGATCAGGATGGGAAGCGTCGCGCCAACAAGCACAGCCGCACGTCGTCCCGCCGACTTGAAGGATGAATGTGGTGAACGACGAGCTCCGCAACGGCAATGGCTCCCGTGTCAACCAAGGCGACACCCTACAACGGCAGTTAAGGGAGGCGACTTGAAATGGTCCGCGAGGAGATCGTTCAGAAGGGGAGCCTCTCTCGACGTTGGCAGTGGCAGCAAGTGGCAAAGAGGGAAGGCTGGCCGCAAAGGATCGGGCAGCGGCGAAGGCAAGCAGCGCGGACCATCGCACGGCAAGCAGCGAGAGAGAGAGAGAGAGAGAGAGAGAGAGAGAGAGAGAGAGAGAGAGAGAGAGAGAGAGAGAGAGAGAGAGAGAGAGAGAGAGAGAGCGAGCGAGGGAGAGCGAGGGAGGGAGAGGGAGGGAGGGAGAGGGAGGGAGAGGGAGGGAGAGGGAGGGAGAGGGAGGGAGAGGGAGGGAGAGGGAGGGAGGGAGGGAGAGGGAGGGAGGGAGGGAGAGGGAGGGAGGGAGGGAGAGAAAAAGAGACAGAGAGACAAAAGTCGACTCCTGCCAAGGAGACGGGCACCCGCGGCCGCGTTGTCTCCGCCCCGGAGGGTTCGACGCAAACGCGGCATGGGGCTCCGCAAGCGTCATGGCCCCATGCGAAGCAAAGCTAACGCAGCAGTGGTAGCAAAAGGGAGACAATGGCATTTACCATGTCGATAGTACCGACTCCCAGTCGACATGATTAACAAAACAATTCCCTCCGCACCCTCCACATAAACCGGAGCTCAATCACGAGGCCACTTCAAGTGGTGAGCCGGATCAGGATGGGTCGCCTGTCTGAAGTGTCTGTCCCACGGGAAGTGGTTCAGCAGGGCAGAGTTCATGATAGTCGGTGCGGCTGCATTCGAAGGGTGCTGCAACTGTGCTCGTTGGATTCAAAGTATACCGCGAATCTCGGAGCCCCATCGCTACGACCTGCTCCCCAGGATGAGGTCTTGTGCGAGAGTGCGTCTTTGCCTAAATATTCTGTTTGTCGTCGTGCGGGGAACCCCAATGCTGCGACCCGGGAGTGGGGAAGGGGAGCACCAATGCTACGACCCAGGGTGGGCGCGGGTGAATGTAAAGCGGGGACATTGCTACGACCCTCTTGGATGCGAAACGGGGAGCACCATTGCTACCACCCGTGGAGGTGTGAAATCAGGTGGAGCCCCATGCCACGATCTCGCTTGAGAATACCAAATTGCTGGCGTCCACTCCCGTATGCGAGGAACTCTGCCGTCCCTGCAGCTACGACAAGTCTCTATTGGCGGTCTCATCACAATTTCTGTGATGTGCCTGCAGGTCATATCCAATCCGAATCTCCGCAGCGGCGACCCTTCTACGTACACCCTCCTGCCGTCCGTGTTGTTGTGCCGTGACCGTGTGCGGAGGAATCAGCACGAACGCATGCAGCTCATGGACGCGATGTCTGTGATTGGACTGAACAGGAGTCATCTTGCAGGCCGCTAGAAGAATGGAGACGACCTAAACTTTTTTTTAACGGACTTTTCGAGCTGCCCAACGAACGCAGCTAACTAGTCTGCCTGAAGCTACGGACTACGCCACTCGCGTCAGGGCCGCAACATGCCGCAACGGCAGGCGACTCTGGCCGGCGGGGCGGGCCTTCACAGGCTTCTGGTTTTTTTTTTTTTTCACGCACCTTTTTGTGACAGCACCAAAGGTACTAGGCCCGGTCCCTGTGCAAACTGCTGTCTACGGGTTAGGCAGGGCGGGCTGGGAGGCGGCTGTTAGCGGGGGCCTGCAACCAGCGTGCGTCGGCCAGGAGCTCGTGCACAGCGGGTGGGTCACCAGCAGCACCGAGCTCTGCGGCAGCGGGAAGCTCGAGCAGCGAAGTGGCGAAGGCTCGCTGCGCGGCAACGGAGAGGATGCCGCTCCAACGGTACACCCAAGCGGCTTGAGCAGCGCGGGTTGCAGTGGCTGTTCCCAAACGCCCAATGCCGTGCTGGCGACGGCCTGCTGCACCGCCACGGACAACAAGCCCCACCAGCGCCTCGCCCAGCCGGCTGCAGCTATATGTCCTGCAGCAGCAGTCTGACGTGCTCGGCCCTCATTCCAGAAAGGCCAGCTGCCCCGCCTCGGCGAGCCTCCCGGAGCGCGGCGGCAACTGAGCGTGGAGAGAGGCGGGACATGCAGGTTGCTCTGGAGCAGCTGCGGCAGTGCCTCGCGAGCCTCGGGCGGGCGCTTGGCTGGATCGGTCAATGCCGTCCAAGTCGTTCGCCCCTCAGCTCCAGCAAGCTTGCTTGCCGTTTCAGTTTGGCTTGAGCACCCGGGCTGGCACCGAAGCTCTCGCCCGTGTCCTCCGCACAGCCACGGAGGTTGACCCCCGCACAACCATCCTCTCCGTCGATGCTGCCGGCGCCTGCGACCATGTGTCGCGTGCGGCCATGCTCGGGGCTCTGCAAGCACGGGCGGAGCTGCAGCCACTGTTGCCGTATGTCAGGCAGTTCTATGCATCGCAGAGTCTTTACACGTGGGTTGACGACCAGGGGCGCAGCCATGACATTCTGCAAGGTGAAGGCGGCGAACAAAGTGATCCGTTGATGCCCGGCCTGTATTCCCTCGCAGGGCACGAGGCGCTGCGCACGGTCCAGGCCCGCCTCCGTGATGGTGAAGCTGTGTTCGCGTACCTCGACGACATCTACGTCGTCGCGCTGCCTGAGCGAATACGTGAACTCTACTCTTCGGTCGAAGACGCCTTGTGGCACCACGCGCGCGCCCAGCTCAACCCCGGCAAAACCAAGATTTGGAACGCTGCCGGGGAGGAGCCTGCTGATATCGGCGACTTGCAGCGTCAGGACGGCGACCCAGTATGGGTTGGGGACTGGGCGCTCCCGCGCGAGCAGCAAGGGCTTACCGTGCTCGGGACACCGCTTGGCTCCGAGCCGTTCATTTTACATCAGCTTCGAGCTAAGCGGGCTCAGCAAGACCGCCTGCTCGAGGCTATACCCGGCGTCGAAGACCTGCAGGCGGCGTGGCTGCTTCTGCGCTATTGCGCTGCGCCGCGCGCAAACTACTTGCTGCGGGCTTTGCCCCCTGCATTGACGGCTGACTATGCAGCTGGGCACGATGCGGCGGTAGCCGCATGTCTAGCCACCCCTTGGCTCTGCGGAACGCCCGCTGCCGGAAGGGCCCCTGATAGCTGCCCAGCTCCCCACCAGGTTCGGAGGCCTCGGCCTGCGCTCAGCTGCAGCTGACCGGCATGCAGCACATTGGGCATCCTGGTGCGACACGCTCCCAGTGCTGCAAGCACGGGCACCTGCCGCTGCTGCTCGCATACTGCGGGCCTTGCAAAGCCCGGTTGCGCACCAAACGCCATCCATCACCGCTGCGCAGCAATCAGCAACCTACCTCCGAGGTCAAGGCTTTGCCGCTCCACAGTGGGATGCGGTTCCGGCGGCCCCTCCAGCTGCCCCCCGCAGCGACGAAGCAGGTGACCACTTGCGAGGCTGGCAACGCCCCGCCGCCCACGCCTGTGACGAGCGCGCGCTCGAGACGCACTTTGCAACCCTTTCCCCCGCGTCCCAAGCGCTGCTGCTGTCGCAGACAGGCCCACATGCCAGCCGCAGCATCTCTGTCCTGCCAACGCATGCGGATGTCGCCATTCCTAGTGACCTCTTCCGGGTGATGCTGTTGCGACGCCTCCGCTTGCCACTCCCCCTCGCGCCCCGCGCTTGCAGCTGCCGGGGGCACCTCGATGCCCTGGGAGACCACCGTGCCGCATGCGCGACATCCGGGGCCCTCGCTGCGCGCGCCATCCCCTTGGAGCGCGCTCTTGCGAGAGTATGCCGCGAAGCGGGAGCACGGGTGGCCATCAATGTGCGTCTCGCCGACATGAACCTTGATGTTCCCGTGCACGATGCACGCCGCATCGAAGTTGTCTGCAATGGGCTTCCGCTTTGGCATGGACACCAGCTCGCAGTTGATGCCACTATCGTCAGCCCAGTCGGGCGTGATGGGGAGCCCCGGGAGCGGTCCCATGCCCGAGCTGGTGTTGTCCTTGCGAATGCAGCCAGGCGCAAACGCCGACAAACCTACCCGGAGCTCAGCACGGCACGCCGGTGCCGCCTGGTCGTCTTCGGCATCGAGGTTGGGGGCCGGTGGGCACCTGAGGCCGCCACTTTCGTCCGCTTGCTTGCGCGTGCACGCGCTGCGAGTGTGCCTGCCACCCTTCGGCCCGCTGCTCAAGCCGCATGGGTCCTGAGGTGGAGCGGAATCCTTGCTGTCGCTGCCCAGCGCGCGCTTGCCGCCTCCTTGCTACACCTCCCTCTCGCCAACGAGTGCACTGGTGGAGGGGCCGAACCCGCTTTGCACGAGCTGCTCGCTGACTTGCGCTGGCACGAATCGCTTGAGTGCAGTCGCATGCCCAGCCGTGCTGCGTGAGTCCTTCCGTAGGCCGTGTGGGCACCGGGACCGCGCGTTTGCAAACGGTTGCAAAAAGGTGCGTTGAAAAAAAAAAAAAAAAAAGTAACTCTATGCCCGGAGCTAGCTCGGCCGCCGTGAGGACGTGCCTGGCGCGGGAAATGTCGCCTTGGCGGACTTTGGTGCAGGCGCGTTCGCGATTCCGCTCCGCTAAAACCGCAACGTGGAGCCCGAGCGCCGTTTCAGGACGCCAGCGGGGCCGCGCAGCTGCTAGCAGTTGGGTCCACTCTCCGCGCTGGAATGGCTGCGCTCTGGCGGGTAGTATTGCGCGGCCTTGCGCGCCCTGGTGTTCGGGGCGTGCCAACAGCATACGCGGGGCGACAAGGAACAGTTTCCAGGCTCGACTTGCGGCCGAGCTTTGTGCCTCGCCTTCCACGAGCGCCGCGTGCAAGTGAGTTAGCGCCTTCACCAGGGAGCCGCGAACGGCTGCTCGAAGGAACGGCGGAACGTCCTGCAGCGTCGGCACGGGATGGCGGAGTTCTGCTGTGAGATCGACCGCATCCAGCGCCCCCCAAGCTGCGTCCGCCTCCGCCGTGCATGTCGGAACCGCGCTCGCCCGGTCGAGCCTCAACGCGAAGCTGTCGCGCACGTCATCCGCGCGCGCTTGCGCGTCCGCTGCGAGGGCTGCACCTCCATCAGCTTCGAGCAAAGCGGACCGAGCTGGAGCGCTGAGATAGCCGTCGGCCGTCATGCACACCAGCACGGCCGCCGACAATGGCGACGGGGCCTCTGCCGGGAGCGCGGAGAGTTGCGGCGTGGCACGGGCGACCTCCGGGGCTAGCGCAGCTGCGTCGTGCGGCTCGCAATCCGCGTTAGCGTGCAGGAGACGGATGATTGTGATGGGCGGCGCGCCAGGAGCGTGAAGCTGACGCGAGCTCTGCGAAGCGGTTTCCGAGTCGCGGTCGCGTGTGCCAGGCCTCTAACGCGGCGCGGGTGAGGTGTCCGGCGCCAGCATGCAGCAAAGGCACGAAAACCCACGAGCACCGTAAGCCGGGCATGACGTTCGGGCGGGCGAGCATCTTGCCAAGGCAGCGCCAGCTCGTCCCGTGGTGATTGCGGCGGCGTGTACCCTGGCGTCGCCTCGCCTGACAACGGCGGGGCGGCCTCGCCTGCCCGACCAGGCACGCCCGCGTCCGGAAGCACGCAATGACGTGCGGTGAAGCGAACGGAGTGTCGGCTTCCAGTGTATCAGAAAAAATGCTCGCGGCTGGTGGCGAGGGAGCTGCGGGCAGGAGCCGCATTTGGGCAAGCGCATGCAGTGCACGGGCGGTGCGGTGCCGAAGGCGTGCTCGTTCGGCGTACGCTTCCCCCACGCTTCCTCCGGATCGCGAACTGGTGGTAGACACGTGCATGGCGGTGGGGCGGGTGACGACGGCCGGACGCGTCAGCATGCGTTTGCGAGGTTTGCGCCCTTGTGTCTCCAAGCCCGGAAGCCTGTGAGCAAAACGCGCAGCCGGCGCTGTAGGCTGGCTTGCGAACCCCGCGGCACGCCTTTAACGAACCCTGTGCGCCCTGCCTGCCTTTTTCTCGGAGATACATGCCAAAAGTCGTGCCATCCGCGCTGTATGCATGCGGCGGCCCCGGAGGAATTAAAACTCGAGACGGTAGCCTCGGCCGCCGGCCCCTGAAAAATTAAAACTCGAGGCAGTGCATGTTCCGCACGGCTGCCGCTGCCGCTTCGGCGGCTCGCTCGGCCGCGGCCTCGATGAGCCTTGCATGGCCTCCATCTCTGCCAGGCGCATTTCCGCCCTGGCCAGCTCCGGTACCTCCGTGTCCGCCTTGGAGTGGCTCCCCTTGCTGCGCCGTGGCTCCCTTGCCGCCTTTGCTTTCCCTGCGAAGCCATGCTCGCGCTGGGCCGGGCCTCGCGGCCGGCTCATGGAACGGCTGTCGCGGGAGCGGCTGCGACTGCGGCTGCGGCTGCCAAGCGTGCTGGGCCTGGTGATGGCGGTAGGTCTTCGTCGCCCGGGGTCATGGCCGAGACCACGCCCAGCAGCAAGGACTCCACTGGCCACTCCACGAGACGGGGCAAACGCCGGCTGTGCACCAAGCCTTGTATGGCCACCACTGCCTGGCACGGGCGGCAGCGTGGCTCGTCCAGTCTGACAGGGCGAACGTGGCATGTGTGGCACGTTGCTATGTTGGGGCTGCGGGGTGGCGCTAGCGAGGCAAAGATAGCTGCGGGTTGGAATGGCTGCAGACACGCACTGGCATGAAGTGACTTTGCACATGGCTCTGCTGCATCGGGTTTTGAAGCAAGGGGCGGGAAGAAGTGCTCTAGATTGCTGACTCCCCGCTCCTTTCCATAGAACCTCCCTGTGATGCGGCGAGACCGGTTGGCATTGCGGAGCGTTGGCCCTGCCACCCTCGCATTCCCTGTGGCGGGGGTTTGTGTGTCCGGCATTGCCTCGGCGGCGCCCTGCGTCGCATCGTCCATCGCGGCTCCCCGCCTGCGCCCTAGACTCGGGCCCCGCGCTGCTCAGAGTTTTTGGCCCTGGCGTTTGCAAGTGGGCAGCGCGTCTCGCAGCGGTGTCGGCGTAGGCAAGCCGGGCCTGTGTGGCGAGGTCGCGACGTGTAGGACGCGACCCAAAAGTTCCTCGGGTGTCTGCCCAGCTGCGTTTGCCAGCGCGGCGAGCTCGTGCTGCCCCCCAATCGCGACCAGGATCTCCGCCGCGGCAGCCGTCCACGCGGGCGGGGGCACGCGGCGCATGGCAAAGTGGGCCCAGCATCAGCCATGAGCAAACCGCCCAGCGCTGCCCCAACACACAACCCCAGCAGTGAGAGCAAGGCCCCCAGCCTGGCGGGCTGCTTGGCGACAGGAGCGTGGAAGTTGGAGACTTCGGGGGCGGCCTGCCACGCCGCCTGCACCAGCCATCGCAAGGCGGCCGTAACTGTGGTGCGGCCCCGCGTCGCGCAGAATGCCGAGGCCCTTGAGCCTTGAGCCAAAATGGCTTAAGATCGAGCAGCCACCAGCAAAGACCCACCACCATGTAGGACGAGGGCACGGCAATAATCCCTCAACCAGTAAGATGAAGAAGGTGGAGCTGCGCGCCGGCACCACAGCAACAGTACTGTGGCGCCGCCCTGCGCCTTGCCCGCAGGACCAAGGAACCCCCCGAGCTGTTGCGCTCGCAAAGGTGCAAGCTCGTCGTCCTTCCAATCGATGTCGGAGGCCGCTGGAGCTCAGAGGTTGCCCAGTTTGTCCGCCTCCTCGCTCGCTGCCGGGCCCGTGCCGTCCCTCGCCCACTGCGACCTGCAACCATCGCAGCCTCCACCTCCCGATGGTCTGCCCTGCTCGCCTGTTCTGCCACCAGAGCCTTCGGTGCCAGTCTGCTTGGTCTTTCCTTTGCCGGCACTGTCAATGTCGACGGCGACCAGCCTCGGCTCAGCGAGGTCCTTTCTTCGACTCGCTTCGACGAGACCCCGCCCCTTGCCAGCTGTCTGCCCCCGCGTCCTTGAAAGAGCCTTCCCGTGCCTGCAAGCCTCGCCTTGACGCCGTAGGACGTCGCCTTGGGTTTGGGCCTGCTGCACTGGGACCGCGTCGCAGATTGTCCAGAAAGGTGCGTGACAAAAGGAAAATTCCGAAGGTAGCATCAGAACCCATGCCGCCCGGTGGGGGAAAGGGGTGTGCTCCGTGAGTATCCCACGACTCTTGGTGCCACCCCGGGGTCCACACCCGCGACTTTACGCACACGTTTTGCGACCAGTATGTGCGCGACCCCAGTGCAATTGCAAGCTACGCTGCTGCCTACGGAGCGAACGGCAAGCCGTTCACGCGGCGTGCAAGGTGGCTGGCTGACGGCACACCGGTTCCAGCACCAGCCCACCCGGCAAAGAAACAGCACCGGGCACCGGGGCGAGCGCAAACGTGACCGCTGCCTGCGTGGCAACGGGAGCATGGCGAGCCCGAGATCGGGCGAGCAGTCTGACGAGCTCAGCGGCCTGTGGGGACCACCGCCCTCCAACCTCAATGCCGAAGACAATCAAGCGACATCGGTCGCCCTGTGCCAGTTCGGGGTAAGTCCGGGCCTTGGTGAGCTCGAGGGTATGTTGCCGAGGTGGTTCCTGAAACGGTCATGCACATGCCGGCAGCGGCAGCGTGCCCAAGTCAAGGGCAGGGGCAGGCGAAGCCGGCGGAGGAGCAACACTCGGAAGAGCGGCACAGCTCAGGCGAGACCGGTCTGGTGGTGAAGGCACTCGCGGCATGAGGCCCGATTGTGAGTCCACCATAGCAAGGCTTTGGGCATCAATCTTGCAGCGAATGGCACAGTGGCACACTGAACGTGAAGCGGGGCGCTGCCACTACGTGCAAAAACGGCGGGGTCGTCCTCAAGCGATACAGAGGGCACCACTCAGAGCACAGCATCCCACGTGGGGGTCTGGCAGCCTGCAGCCTGCAGGGATGCGGTGGCATTCTTCCAGGCGGCTCTAGGGCGTGAGGCAACGGCCCAGGGCCATCCAAAGAACGAACGGGAGCCTGAGCGGAGGCGCGATCACGACACGCGAGGGAGAGCGCACCGGCCCAACACGCCCAGTAAGCTGCGACGGCATGGTGCTCAAGGCTGCGAAGTCCAAGTCCTTCCTGGCGCAACGCAAGTTGGGCACGTCCGGCAGTGAAAGCAGGCAAGCCTAAAGCAGCATCAGCACGCAGCAAGGCATCCAGGCAAGAAAGTACAGCTTCAGCGGCGTACGCTCGCGTATCCTCCGGCGGCAGTGTAGCACGTACAGTGCACGAGGGCCAGCACAGGAAGACAGCAACAGCCAGGCTACCTCAGTGTCGGCAAGGAGCAACAAGCGCCCGAGGGGGACCCTCTGTTTGGCGCCTTAACAAATGCAGCAACGAACTCCTGTGCGCCAAGGAGTACTCCAAGCGCAACAAGGCTACGCTGGGCGGAACCCAAGGCCAGATTGCCAACCCAAACGTTGCTATCAGGCGCAAGCGGGGTCAACACCATCAGGGTGGACCACGGCGGTGTTCTTACCAGGGTTCAGGCGGAGCTGGGGAAGACGCGTTGCATGCTATTCGAAACGGCGGTGCAGGTCGAGCGCACAGTGAGGTGGAGGTGGGATGTATGCATCGTCTACAAAGGCCAAGGCTTGCTCGTCAGGCTGGAGGTCGGCACGCAAGTCGCAGAGGGCAGGTGCAAACGCCAAGGCAAATAATGGCATGAGTGGGTCACCTTGTTTTTTTTTTTTCAACTTTCCTGGAGCTACCCCTTCAGTCGGAGCTTGGTGCTGCTGGCCCGCCACCAGCTTTGCACGAGCTTCTCGCAGACGCTCGCTGGCAGGAGGCTCCTGAGCCAAGCCGCCTCCCTGGCCGTGCGTGAGTCGCGAGTGGTTGCCGTAGGCTGCAGTTGGCACTGGGACCCGGACCTCTGTCACGTGCAGTAGCAAAAAGGTGCGTGATGGAAAAAAAATATACCTTGTTCATCGCGTTCAGCGTGCCTGCGAGCCAGCCGCCTAGACATACAGAGGCTCACGGGCGTACCAGAGGCGGACTAACGGCAACAGGACCGAAGCTTGCGGCACCTCGCGGCATGCAGGCAACATGGCCTCCTGGCTGACAGTGTCGAAAGCTGCCGAGATGTCAACGGATAATACCGTGAAGTTCGGGATGTTCGGGTCAGCTTGAATTTTGGCTTGCAGGGTGTGGAGGAGCGCTTCCGCGCCTGTCCTCGTCGACAACGCATGCTGGTGTGGGTGGCACGCTGTATCAAGCTGTTTCGAATATGGTGGAGCCAAGGTGCCAGCAACAAGTCTCCGCAGCACATGATCAACCGACCCACTCCGACCCCTGCCACCGGACTTGTTGGATTTTTGGCCTCATGCAGCAGTTGCGCTTGATCGAGTTGCCCTGCTCACCCACCTCCGCCGTGCGTGCAAAGGCACCACACGAGGGCCCAGTGGATTTATGGCCCAGATGCTCCGCCTCGTTCTCGATGATGAAGAGGCCGGTGCTAAGGTGCCCGCACCGATCGCCGCTGCCATAGCCCTGGGACTTGTCGTCGGCGGCGGACAGGGCCCAGCCGCTTGCCTTTGTGGTCATGAGCCGACACCTTTGGGTGATTGAGCGGTAGTACGACCTGCGTGGCAATGGCACCGTCAGACAAGTATCGAAAAACAACGGACGATCGGCCTGGCGTTGCCGCAGGAAAATCAATGTTCATGTCAGCGACGCGAAGGTTTCGCGGGCTCGCCTTCCGCTTCGCAGCTAACGGGTCTCCAGCGGTAGCACCACGGTGGGCGGAGTTCCCGAAGTGGCAAAGGCGGCGCTTGACGGTCCCTTAGGAGGACTCCCGGGGGTCACTTCGAGCTGCGGGAAGGCACCTTGCCTGCTGCGATTTGAAGGAACTCCTGGTCGCTCTTGTTTCCGAGCTGGTGCTGTCAAGCTGCCCTCTGGACGGTCACGTGGACTTCGGGCTACCTATTGGTCGAAGCATGGTCGGTCTCGGTGGACCAATATATCCTGTCTGAAAAGCGGTGAAAAAATGTCGGACGCATCCAAGGGAAACAGCCGCGAACTGTACAAAATCATTTCGCATGGCATGCTTACACTGCTGCTCAATTCATCATCCCATCGCTTGGGAGAGCGACCTGGCCGCCGCTTTGGCCCACTCTTGAAACTGTGCAGGGATGCGAGGCCCCAAGTTCCCGCACGTGATGGCCATACCTCACATGATTGGCATGATGGGCGCTGGAACAAGCAGTGGATGTGACTTGAAAGCAAACGATATCTGATACCCGAGCGTTCCTGCGTCGCGTCCCTGGGCAAGGTTGTGGGCCCAGGACCGGAGTGAGTGACAGAGCTAACGCAGGTGGTGTCGATAGCAAGCTGAGCCCCATGCTACAGGGGCAAGCCGTTGCTGACTATCTTTATCCGGCACGCGTCGGCAGTGGGGTGGGCGGGCTCATGTCTGCAAAGCGCACCTTGCGAGTGACCTGAGCGCCAGCCTCTGGGCAGACCCTGGCGGCGGGAGCGTTTCGGAGGTCGCACATGTCGGTCCAGCAGACCGCGGCAGGCACAGAGCCTGGGCGCGAGCCGCAGCTGTCAGCGCAAGCGGCGGAGGAGTACCCGGAATTACGTGGAAGGGATGGTGATTGTTTCGTGAGCAAGGCGGACTGCAAAGCAGCAAGTGGCATGTGGCCCCGCCTGCGACAGCCGCAGAGCTCGTGACGCGGCTGGGCAAGCTAGCGAACTGTGTCTCGAACGTGCGTTGGTCACCAAGCGCGGGCGGCGTGCCGCTGCCAGCCTCGGAGACGGTGCCCCGATTTGCCCTGGCTGGTCGTGGACATGCGCGTGCGCAGGCTCTGGGCTATCCCAAGCGAGGACGTGGCAGCCTTGAGCAGCAAGGTGGTCAGCGGCTTGGGCTGCCGCTCTGTCACTTGGATCTGGAATCATACCACCGTCAACGTCAATGCGAGAAGTCTCTGGCGAAGTGACAATTGTGGTGAAGATGCTTGTTTTCGTTGCATTTAACAATAAACCGACGAACGCCAACTCAACGTTCAGTGAGTCCAGCATGACAACGAGCTCATGCCACGATTTGGCATACAGCAGTAAATCGCCAGCAAAGCGAACATATATAGGTCAAATTGGTGGCACCACCAAACTTGATGCCATGGTCTCGCAAACGCGCCTTCCACAACCTGATCAGATCGCTTGTTGTAGCCCATCAGGAAACAAGATAGGGCTGATGACGTCATTTTGCTTCACTCCGCATTGAATTGGAAAAGCACGTGTCAGCGACAGACCCTGTTTGTTGTGAACACAACGTATCACAACGTCGTTAGCAAAGTGATATAATCACAGGGAACTCCTTGCCCTTGCAATGCTCAGAATAAGCTGTAAGGGTGGAGTTGGTCAAAAGCTTTACGTAAATCAAGCTGGCAAACCAAACCTCACAATCAAATTCGATGGCCTTTGCGCAAACACAGTCGAACACGCACAATGCATCATCCACGCGCGGCGGCGGCCAACGTCTCTTCGTCCTTGCTTTGGAGGTCGTGGGGCGCTGCCGACTCGCAGGCGCTTGTTCGGCAGCTCGTCTGCATCCGGACTCTCCGCGTGCCGTCTGCGCGCCGTCTGCCCTCCGAGCAGCCGCTTCCACTGCCTGGATACTGGAGTGCGGAGTCATCTGCCTTGTGGCCCGGCTCGTGTGGGGATTCGAGCCGCCGGGCGCGTTACCACGGCTTTGGGTGGCGACGCTTGTGGGAGCCCTGGATGTTGCCGGAGCCATGCAAGGTGCTCAGATCCAGTGCTGCCACCAACCGCGTCGGCATGTTGATAGCAGCATTTTTTCGCCGTCGAAAGGCGCGCTTAACACAACTTGTGTGGCAGTGCCGGCATCAACATCAATCAGGTGCTTGCCACATTCTATGGATGGGTGTGTTTTGCCATGTTTGACTTCATCCATGCCCGGGGCAGTTTGCATTCATCGAATCTGCGAATTCGATCTGCCAGTCCAAGCTCCAACGGCAACCGTGCAACTGCGTGGTACCACGTGGTTCCCTGGCATCCCACAAGTCCATTTGCGCTGAGTAAAAGCCTGATTAAGCTCGAGATTCGCAGTGAACTTGGCCCGTGGGCAGGGAATAAACCAAACCCTCCTTCGAGACGTTGTTACGCGTTGTTACTTGCTTGTTGAAATCTGCAGAACTGCACGATGTCCACCGTTTGACAACGGCATTGCGCAGATTTTCCTCGTGTTGCGAGAGTATCCAGACCTGTTGGTCAATCTTGAATTACAACCCGTCACTTACTGCGATGCTGGCCAGCAAGGATTGGACATCGAAGATATAACATACTGCGAACATGCAGCGCAATCCCGAGTTGCACAGAAGGTGTGATGGTATGCAACTGGCGTCCGGACCTGTGGAGGTGGAATTCGTGTTCGTTTTTGGCATGCACGTGGAAAGGACATTGGGCGTCAAGGCCTTCGCTGGGACAACAAGAAAACCACAACCGCGGCACGTGCCAGGCCCCACACGACGAAAGCCCGAAGGTGAAGCCCTACCCTCCCCTGGAATTCCCTTGTCCTGCGGCTTCGGCTGCGGAGGCGGCACCGGAATGACTGGGCTGTCTGCCACCTCGGCATCCTCCACCTCGGCGAGGAAGCCGTTTCCGACTGCAGCCCCCCAACTCCTGCCGGCCTGAAACTCGACGCCAAGCACAGAGTGCAACTCTGCGAGCAGGGTCCTTTCAAACAGCGGTAAAGTTAAAGCCTGGATTATCGAACCGCGGCATGTGTCAAGCAGCTCGGATCAGCACAGCGATTTGGGCGCGGGCGCATCACAAAGACGTTTGGCCATGGACAGGAGTATTGCACCAGATGGATTGTCTGGCTGCTCGCAACACAGAAGACCTGACTCTACACAAGCTATTTTTGGAACGCGGTTGCGGCAATCTCTCCTCCCCCTCCTCTCTGCAGGGAAGCAAGAAGCTCTGAATCTTGCGCAACACGCGATGTAGTATTGGGAGTGCCTGACCGTGTGCAAACACATCAGGTTTGACATGGGACTGGGCAGCAGGAAGAAAGCCAGCTAAGGAGCAAACCTGTGTGTTGAGATACTCCATGTACCAATCTAAGCTGTCGCTGGGCCTGCGGGTGTGGGCTACCAGCCATCACAGACATCGCAAGGCCAGTCTGAGGATCGCACAGCTGACTATCAAATTTTGCCGGCAACCCTGTCACCTAAAGAAGCCGGGCTCACGATTCTCGCAACATGATTCTTGCAACATGGTTCTTGCAACATGGTTCTTGCAAGGCCTCCTCGCCAAAAAAATGGCATAGTCGATCCACTAGCTCAGCAGACGCCTCGGATCCACATCAGTAGGGCGTCAGTCTTCAACCCACACAGCAAAAATATTCTGTGACGTGCCCGTTTGACAGACTTGACAACGTCTGGAGTCCGTACAGCCTGGACGTCTTTCGCTGCCTGTATCAACTCAACACCACATTCGCGCAAGTGTCGATGAGGTGTCAACACCCGCAACCAGCCTTCGCCGCACGCATGGCATTGTACTCGTTCAACCCCGCCTGGGATGAGGCACCGATTGCTCCAAAACCGCAAATCTCCTGGCCCGAACAGGCCGGATGGGTCGGACACCACATCTGAGGCATCCACCGGCCAAGTCGCCCCATTGCAATTGAAAATACTGAGCATGACACGAAATGCAGCCGAGACAACCAAGCAAGCGATTATTGAGATAAACTCTGACACGCTCTGCAAGCAATCCAAAAACGTTCTCGAGACATGCAATTGAAACGATGACGTACGAAATCCCACGTGACATCCGGCGGCATAAAAGGCCATTTGTAGTGTTTTTCGGCCAGTGGCAGTTCTGCAAACATGCTGATCCGGCGACGGCGAACCACGTCTGACCACCGATAACAAATCTCTGCTCAGCACCCTCGTCCAATGTGACATCGCACCAAGCCTCTACAACGCACGTCGGAGCAGCGTTTGTTGCAAACAGTCCGGAACCATGTACCACATGAAACTGCTTTCCTGTGCGCAATCTTTCACCTCGAGAACTCCAGAAGGCTGTGTAAATTCTGGTGGTTGAAGACGGCTGAATGAATCCAACTGCCAGCGAAAAGCAATCAAGCAAGCACTAAAGCAGAGTGCAACCAGACCGGTTCCACACGAAGGATGTTGTGGTTCGTCCAGCAGGAAACTTACATGGAGCCGCGGTTTCGTGCACTGTTTGGATCATTGTGGCCGTGTTTCGCGCCCACCATCGCCGTCCGTTGCGAATTTCTCGATGCGATTCTCTCAAGACTATCAGACTTCTTGTGCATCTTGTCCGTTTACGAAACTTTCGACCATCTTGCCTTGAAGCTTTGCACATGCCACGTTCCGTTTCTCACAACTGACGTCAAATCCGCGATTCCTCACCGATCAGTAAGACATGCGAACCTTTCTTCCGATGCTTCGTGCTGCGTGAACGCTTGAAACCCTGCTTGATGCTGCTCCAGCCAGAATGCTAAATATGCGGTGGTGCTTTCCTCATGCTTCAAACTGCAGGCAAACCAACTCCGTACTACGCCCGAAACTTGGACCTGGTCTGTTCTGCATGCCAAGATGTGCTCGTTGACTCGTTGACCGCATGTTACATGGTAGCTTGTAATACCGTTTCGAACTGCACAACGTCAGCCGATACTTCAAAAACCCGGAAACTTGAACCATGAGCTCTCAACTGAACCCAGAGCCTCTAAAACCCATTAATTAAGGAATACACCTTAAATCATCATAGGACCCCCAAAATGATTCAAGGTTTCTTCCGTAATGAAGGGGTTTTGGAGGCTTTGGGAAGAAGCTTGCCGCTTTGCACACCCAAAGAGATTGTTCGTGGATGCTCAACCCTACATGACAAGATTGTGATTGAAGTATTTGTAACATCATCCCTCACAGATTCAAAGCGAAAAACATTTTTCAAACATCCGACGGACAATCAAAGCATCGATGAAAAAGAAAAACTGTTTGATTTTTCCACATCCGCATCAATTGCAATGTCTTGCACCAAAAAGCGGCACGCAAGCCATGGTTTCAGCTGCTGCAAACCAACCATTGTCCTGAATTACAAACAGTCATTTTTCTTTGACGAAGAAAGCACGACTTCATGGAGCACTCGGAAAACCTCAAACAAACCCCGCACATGTCGCGCTCCCACTTCCACACTTGCTTCGAACGTCTGTTGCTCGTTCAGAAGCAACTTTTTCTGCGTTGGAAACGTTTTGTTGATGTCCTTCCAATGACAGTTTGATTCTTCGTTCAGAAAAAGATGTTACAGGGTTCGAAAGAAGACGTGGAGTTGAGATGTTTCGAGGCTGCGAAAGATGGCTTGATCGCAGAGTGGAGATGGAAAAAAATCATAAATCTTTATCCTTCTTTGCCAATCCTTCCATATGAAAAAAATAAAGCAATCCGGAAATCATATCATATAAATGATTCCAGATTATATTCCAAGCATATTTGGAAAGGGAACATATCCCCCTTAGGAAACGTTATCATAATGAAATGCGCTCAAAGACGGACGATCTTTTTCATGCGACGGGGGAATGCACGATTGGTTCGACTCGGCCAGCAGCCGACGCCGCACATATTCACCACATGTCTCGATGGCCCTTGCACATCAAGCGGTGCTCATTCCCCCCCCACGGTGGGAGGGTGGGTCAAAACTTTCAAAATCGCTCTGCCTTCAGAGCCGCATAGCCTGAGGGATATATTCAATCTGTGAGTCACCACAAAATACAAGGCCATGCAGCATCCAAGAATACATGCGTGACATGAAACAAATTCTTGGCCATGACATTAAAAAGGCATGTGCATTTGAGCTGACGCCCAACACTTCCCTCATAAAATTTTCAAAAGGAAATGAAAGAACAATTTCACATGAAAGGACGGTGAGCATCTCACCTGTTGGCTAGAGGATAAGAGGGTATCACGAAGCGTGAGATTGTCTTTATCCTTCTTTGCCAATCCTTCCATATGAAAAAAATAAAGCAATCCGGAAATCATATCATATAAATGATTCCAGATTATATTCCAAGCATATTTGGAAAGGGAACATATCCCCCTTAGGAAACGTTATCATAATGAAATGCGCTCAAAGACGGACGATCTTTTTCATGCGACGGGGGAATGCACGATTGGTTCGACTCGGCCAGCAGCCGACGCCGCACATATTCACCACATGTCTCGATGGCCCTTGCACATCAAGCGGTGCTCATTCCCCCATCCACACATCACCGCGCCATCCATCTTTAAACTGCCTCCAACATCGGCTGCACCTTTCGGAAGCGTTCCTCATACTCCCCAAAGGACAACCTGGAAGCTGCATCAGAAAAGTTGCTCTTGGACGGCACCCGGCAGTACCACGGAAAACAATGGTTCGCAACATCAAGTTCGGCAATGTCCGCCAACATACTGGCCGCATCGACCAAAGGCGAATAGTTTCTGATCAAGGCCGCCTTGGCGGCTTCGTTATCCACAAAGAACAACGCCCTCCGATTCCGCAACACCTTTCCCCAAGTGCGTCGCGCGATTAAGACTGGATACAGTTCTGCGAAAAAAATCAGTTGAACTCGACCGGAGCTACGCCAAGCCTCAACAAGAGGCCCTGGGATGTGGCCCCCAAACACCTCATGAGTCTGCGATGCGACGTCCACGATAACGGCCCCATGTGTCACCTGAGAGCCGCGTTCCTCACACGCCCCGTCCGTAAATACAATGACAGGCGGCTGCTCAGACCACAGGTTCACCTGACGGTCCCCAGCAGCCTTCAAGGTATCCAAAGCGCGACGTACAGCCGCCTCGACACAAGCATGGGCCTCTGAACCTTGGTGTTTTTCAGCATGATGAATAAGCTGCGTAGCCACCTGTGCGCAACGGCCGAACACATGCGAGGCTGCAAACAAGAGCTTGCCCTTAAGGGAAGGAAGAGAGCGCGCCCCCTCACCGGGGTCGGAGGCAAGGCGTTCCACCATGTCGCCAATCTCTTCCACGCGCCCAGGCTTATTCCTAATCCTAATCAAGCCCCTGCCAGCATCTTTGAAGGATAGCACGGCCCCAAGCATAGTGAACTCCGAAGCAAAAGGTTTAAGCTTGTCGCCATCAGACACCTCCCAGCCAAGAAGGTCCAGCAGTGCAAGCGCAGCCTGATCAGCCGAGTCGGTCAGACCATCGATCTCAAGTTGGCAAAAATCGTCAAAGAATGACGTATTCACAAGGAGCAAAAGTCTCGACATGATAATGCGCAGGGCTCGGGCGGCCCGGTTAAAGCCTGTCACTGCGCTCGACGCTCCGAACGGAAGCGCGGCACTCTCAAAGTAAGAGACGGTGCCGGTGTCTGGGTCCAGGACACCTAGCACCGATGCCCAATCGTCTGAAGGGTGCCGGGCTAACTGCTTGTATGCGCTCCGCAAGTCTAGGGCTCGGCCCTTCAGATTTCTTGCCCGTCCGTCCCTGAAGTCCCTATGCAGGCGGCCCTGGTAAACGCCTCCGCCGGACATAGGAAGCCGGAAAACCTTTGTGCCGGCCACTGTGGATCCCAAGTGGAACCTCGCAAGTGCCACAATATCATCGAGCCCCTCAAGCTGAATCTTCTCTGTCTCAGTAACGGAGGCATTTACCTGAAACTGCGACAAATCATCAACCGCCCTAACCTTGTCACCCTGGGAAACCCCAAACCTTTTGGAAGCCACCCAAGTGCCACCATACTTCTGGTCCATTTGCTCCCAAGTGAAAGGGCCGGCGAGCCAACCTTTCTTCACCTGAGCAAGAGACTCCTCCCAAACGGACCTTGCGACATTCGGGTCTTTAGACGCTTTCCGGCAGGCCGCCTCGATCAGGTGTTTCGACCAAGAGGCCGTGCGCCGGAGTTCGTCCACCGAGATAGACGCAGGCTTATACTTAGGGGGGAACAACCCAGAAGGCTCTAAGGGGCCCGTGAGTCTAAAACCCCGAACCATATCCTCGAAGAGGTGCTCGTCAGGCACACCGGCATCCAGCAACATCTGCTTGAACAGCAGGAGATTCTTGGACCCCATCACCTCCCGGACTGATGGGTCCATGGACTGCTTAAGCTCACGTTCATCATCCCGAAGTGATTTCTCAAGCGCCCTATAATGCTCCAAGACTGAGAGGCGCTTCTGCTTTACAGCTGCAACCCCGTGCTCAAGAGTATATGCTATGGCCCTAAGGTTCGGACCGTCAATGGACACGGCACTATCAAAGGGATGCGTGGTTGCCATGGCCTCCTGCAAGAATTCTTGAGGTGTGTGGTACACCCCAAATTCTGCCTCGCGGCGCTCAACTCCCCCATCCACAAAGACGCGAGTCCATAGCAGCTTTGAACCCGAAGGGATGTCAACCAAGCATGGCGGCGGATCAGCGGGAACGCACTCCGGTGGCTGAAAGTCCCGAGGCAAGAGAATGCGGTGCAGGCGTTTGTATTCAGCAGGACCCACGACACCACGGCCCCGCCGTGGCTGGCGCTGTGCAAAGGTCGCTGCGATTGCGCCGTCAGTGGAGTCGGACGGTTGCACACAAACGCCAACACGCTCAAGTGCCAGCTGGATCTCGCGAGCAGCGGCAGCACAGAAGCTTGCAGGGTAGGCCGTTTCCTCGGAAGTGGCATACTTCCATTGCCCGGTTTGTGGGTCCCGGGACCGACCCCATCGTTTATGTTTGTGCGCCCCATCACACTGCAGCATCAAGCCGGGCAAAGTGCAAGTGGCCAACAGAGCCGTGCGTTTGCGCCGGGAAGATCCGTACATGCAGGCATGAAGCTCATGCCAGAAACCATCCGGAATTTCTGAACGGAACCACGAACTTCGCCACATCAAGCTGCCGACGGGATTCTCCACAATGCACAAGATGCCATTGGACTTGCAGAATCAGAAGACCTTTGCAGTAAAGTCATACAACAGATTTGCACTATTGACGCGGTCACGATCCACATCCGCCAGTGTTGGGAGCCCATCGGGAAACTCCTTGGACCGCAAGGGCTTGGGACCGTGTTTGGAGTTGCCGAGAGGTATCGACCTAGCGCTAGATGAAGTCCCGCATGGGGGCGCCAGCCAGACGGCATCCACGCGCCGTAACTCCACCCACAAGCGTTCCTGCTGCTCAGGGTCACGCAGGTCAAGGCTGATGAAGGGTGCATTTGCATGCTTAGCGGTGGGCTTGTGATCGACGCCGAGAACCTGAAATCCCAACTTTCGCACGGCCGCAGACAAGCCGGCGGAACCACAGAAAATCTCCAGGAACGAAGGTCGGATTGACTGGCCACTGTTGCGCAACACCCCAGAGGACTCAAGTGGCGCGTTACGGTCGGATGCCTGAGGCCGCATCGGGCCGACTGGAACCGGGTTTGTCGGCCCTGGTTCCTGCAACGCCTTTGTGACACCTAAGTTAAGGGGGGACTCGGGACCGGCCGTCGAGTCAGGGCGCCTATCAGGGAGCGGGAAACCCAAAGCGGAAAGCTCCTTCCTATGGCCAGGGCTAATCCCATGAGGGTTGCGAACCGTAAACCCGACAAGAACCACCCGTGAACCCCCAGCCCACGGCATGACACAGTGAGGCTGCTGTGCATCAAAGGACAAAACTCGTCCATTAAACGGCAGGACACGTCCATGTGCTTGCTCGTCGGACAAAGGGCATGGCACTTTGCCTTGCGGGTCTGCAATCCAGAGGCCGCCATCGGAGAAGTTTGACACCTTAACGATGGTATTCAGCTGTTGAGGATCATTTCCCTTGTCAGAGTGAACCCTCGTCTCAAGATTGCGAAACAGCGCCAGTGTGGTATAAACCGCAGATGGCGCCTGCTGTTTCATGAACGCGTTCAAGATTTTTGTTGTGTGTGGGAACTCGCGGCAATGTTGCCGCAAACCATGTCGCTCACCATGATCAAAAGTATATGCGCCGGTGGTAAAGGAAAACTCGGTTCCGTGGCCTTGAACCCGCGAGCCGCGAGATGGGGCCTCAGACGGCAAAAGACTCAACAAATGAAGGATTGTAGCAGCATCGACTTGGCCGACGCATGCAGAGGCGAAATGTTCTGCATTCGAATCACTGCGGTTGCCAAAATGGCTGTTAGCAGTGTCATGCACAGGCGCGGACGCAGCTGCACCAGCCTGGGAAGTGTGCCTGGGCCCTGACCCTAGTCACGAAGTCTTGTGATGCGAGAAGACATGGCTTGGGTCGAAACAGGAAGGGTAGCAGCACACATGGGCCCCCTTCGGACAGGAGCCAGCAGCATTCGGGCACTTCTTCAGATTGTGATCGAAACAGATGTTATTCCCGCTGTCATCCCGGGGCACTCCCCCAATCAGCGCCTTGGGCATAACAAAGCGCACCTTGCGCTGCTTGGTCGGCTTGTCGGCCGCATTCGGCCCCGACCCCTTGCCAGCATTCTGGTCTTTGTCACCACGCGAGTCCTTATCCGTCGCCTTCGACGGGTCGGTCTTCTTCGGTGGTTTGGGCAACTTTGGAGGCTTTTCAGTGGCATCCCCAACTGAAGCAGAGCCCTTCTGGCGAGGCATAAGCATCCAATGGATGTGTGGCCCGCTCAGAACCTTACCGAGCGGCGCGTCCAAAGGAAGGGCTCCTGAAGCATCGGGCGTTAGCCCCGCCCGCGTATGCTCACCCATACGCACATGGATCTCACGATCAGCTGCCTGCAACTGTGCCAGTGACACGGGATGGAATCCTTGCATGGGCTCACGTTGATACTCCATAAACAAGCGATCGATTAGTTCCTCATGGCGTTCAAACGTCATGATGGCAGCAAGCTCATAAGCCACCCCGCGCCTTCGGAGGGCTTGCATCACCTCGAGGTCGGACTTAGTCTCAGCCGTGAGCCGAGACCCCGGATCCACAAGTTTGACCGCACCGGTAAAGGGGACACCCTGAGCTGCAAGACATTGTACCTAGCCGCAAGCTCAGCCGTCGGCACCTTACGCGGCTGATCAGACTCCGTCGACTCGGCCGTGCGCTTGAGCTCGGCCGCAGTGAGTGCATACGCCTCAAAGTGCAACCGGCGAAGCTTAGCATGATGCTCATCGCCATCTGCCCCCAGGATCGGGGTCGCAACACCTGTCTTGAACACATCCTCAGCGATACGGCCAGGCTCGCCCGGGACACAAAAGGCAAATGTTCCGAAGGTCGACCATCCCTTGCGCTTCAACTGGTTCCTGGCCTCCTCAGGTAATCCAAGCTGGGTGCACTTCGCAAGAAACACAGCTTCGCTATCAATGGCCGACATGGTGGTGCAAGAATCTACGTCACGTCCTAAAAGCCATGCCCGATCTCACACGATAAAAGAAAAGAAAATTTACAATCATCATGGCATCTCCGTGTACGAACATGTTCACATGCGAGCCCACCTTCGAGCACGAAACCTGCGTGCATACCACGACAAGTGTCCGCCCGGCATGGGACGTCCCTCCTCAACTGATTTAGCTACCCAACGACAGCCAAGAGAGAGAGAGAGACGCCATGAGAAGGATTGAGCCATCTGTCACCTCACAACCGCAGACACAGTATACCTGGACAACAGCAACATGCCTAGCATGGCTCCGACTGTTTTCTCACATCACTGCCTCAGGTCCTTGGCCCCCCAACACGAGGAACACTTGTGAAGCATGATGGTTGGCACCTCGTCCAGAAGCTCATAGTTTCGGTTTGCGAAGCGGCCGCACCGGAAGACTGTCATCTCCCCCTCATCTGGAGGCTGATCGTCCCTAGCTGCGTGGATCACTCCGCTCAATTTATGCTGAAAACACCGAACGGACCGCCTGGCGTCGTCAGAGACTTGCAAGTCAGACCCAAGCGCAAAAATGGACACTCCCGCCGCGACTCCCGCCTCCTCGGCTTCACCGGCAGACCCAATGCTCTCTGCTGGCGATTCCGGATCAGACTGCACAACCTCGTCGGCCCCAGCAGCTTCGGCCGGACCGGGTCCCGAGGCCTGACTGGGAGCCGGCTTCCCCGACAGAAATCGGATCGCATCATCCACCGAGCGCACGCCCTGGGTCCAGCGCCCAGCCCTGGTAGCGTCGGGCGCAAACAACCCGCTCGTTATGGTCAAGAACATACACTCCAAGAAATGCAATGCCGGTGCAAGGGTATCGCGGGAATACTCAAGGGTAGAGGAATTGGCAGACCTCAAGTGATACCCCGCAATTGCACGCAGATTCTCCGGAGCACCCGCCTTGGCCATGTAGCTCAAAAGTGTTGCCTTCAAGCTATGGGTAGCAATGTCCCCCCACTTGACGTGGGTTGGCATTCCTTCAGAACCTCACGCAACCACAATGCCCCGAGAGACGGATCAAGCGGTAAGGAGTCAAATCCCCCAGTGCACAGAGGCCTCGGCATCATAGGAACGCCCCTTGACGCCCTGAGCCCGAGCCGTCGCCGCCGTTCTAGCCAAGCTTCCGCCCAACTGCCCTCCGCAAGACCGGGCGAGATGCAGGACACGGGCAGCAACCGATGCCTAGCCAACGATCCCCGGTTAGCAGTTTTATGGTGATAAAGCTGGGCGTTCAGGAATCCCTTGCCCTCATGAACATCCAATGTCGGCTCTGCCTCAGTGTGCTGAGCGTCACTCCAGCGCAGCCTTCCATGGAGGCAGTACAAGGCGTAGCCAGCCAAAACCGCCGCTAGATCGTTGTCGGAATGCAAGACAAACTCCTCAAGCGCCCTAACCTGAGCAACCGTCAATGGCACCTTCTTGCGAACAACCACAGCCTGAACCTGAGGGTTTGCAGCCCCTTGGATGCGCGCCGAGCTCGATGCATCACTTACGTCTGCACCGAGCATCGCGCCAGCAAAATTGATTGCTTCGCGGAAGCGCGGGGCACGGGACCTGGGAGCCCCCTCACTCCTCAAAAAGCAAACGTACAAGTAAGCCTCGGCCTCGTCCAAAGGAAAGACCGCTGGGTCCAGACCAACGGATGCCCTCCACCGCGCATAATGTGCCAAACTTGCAGCCCTAGCCTTGAGCGTAGAAGTTGACTTAGCCGAGAACACATCCCTAAGGCATTGATCTACAGCATCTGCCGAGGATCCCTCCTGCTGCATCTTGGCAAGATTTTTACCAACCCTAGTGCCCTTTCCCGAAGTCAAGATGATCAGCCGCCACATTTCAAGTGCCGCGGTCCGTCGATCGTCCTCATGGTCGGCCCAAGACCGAGAGTGGACCACCGCTGCCTTCCACGGCTCCTTTCTAGACCTTATCTGCTGAGGAGTCTCGCAGACCTGCGGCCCCTGGGTAGCATGATCCGGACTCCAAGGCACAAGAGGTGACGGCAGGAAGCCCCTAGACCCAAGAACCGAAGACAGCATCCCTGTATCCCAAGGCAAAGGCATCTCGAACGATGTGGAATGCAACACGGTCATGGCATGTTGCACTGTCGGAGGGTAAGGTGCCCTAGACGCCCTAATCCGAGCCCTAAGCCAATCCCCCATACCCAAAACACTGGGCCGGTCTGACGCCGGATGGCCTGTTTGCACAAGTTCACCCGCCATGTAAGCTATGCAAGTTGAGCAGCAAAGGCGCGAACCCGCTGCACAATGCGCTCCAGCCACACGACACGATGATTTGTATAATCACGGGCCGACTCCAATGCTCGGATGCGATTCTCAAAGGACTCCAACACGCGAATCCTGCCCTCAAGATACTCGCAGCGGTCCGAAAGCACCTGTGTGTCCTGCTGTGCTGCACGGAATTGCTCTTGCAAAGCCCAATGATCCCGCTGCAAGTCTGCAGGGTGACGACTGATGGCACTCACCGTCGAAACCGTGCTATCGGCCTCAGAGTCAGGCTCAGCGGCCGGCTCAGCAGCCGGGTCCATCCGCCCCCGTCCACAGGGGGCTTGCACGGAGCCCTAAGGGCACAGTCTGAATGTGACCTAGAAGTAAGAACTAAGCCCATGACATGAGACTGGAGACGTGTGCCGCATCAAAACTTTCAAAATCGCTCTGCCTTCAGAGCCGCATAGCCTGAGGGATATATTCAATCTGTGAGTCACCACAAAATACAAGGCCATGCAGCATCCAAGAATACATGCGTGACATGAAACAAATTCTTGGCCATGACATTAAAAAGGCATGTGCATTTGAGCTGACGCCCAACACTTCCCTCATAAAATTTTCAAAAGGAAATGAAAGAACAATTTCACATGAAAGGACGGTGAGCATCTCACCTGTTGGCTAGAGGATAAGAGGGTATCACGAAGCGTGAGATTGTCTTTGATGAACTTATCACGGCTGAAAAAAATGGAAGCCTAAAAAAAACATGCCGAGATCGAAATCAAGATGGAGCTGAGCAAGCAGTCTGAAAAAAAATGTTTTGACTCGAAAAAGCTGTCACGCTTCAGCGGCTTCAAAAACACAGAGTTTCCAACGCCTTTGTATTTTTGAAAATTCACATCTTGCATAACGGCTTGAAAGCAAGAAACAAAGAGAAAGAACTGGCACCAACTGATCACGCAACATCTAAACAAGCCATACGGCAGAAATCAGTGTGCCAGGCTTGGTCTCCAAGTGAAAAGCACCAAGGTTCCAGAAAGCCAGGTTCAAACCTAGGAGAGCTTCAAAGGCAGGCCCAGGATTGGTTGAAGAAAAGCCAAAAGGAGGTCAGCAAGAGATGAAGGAGAAAAAGCATGAGGGTCAAAAACGATCAAACAAAAGCACAAACAGGAAATTCAGAGACACACACAGGCCGCATAAATTTGTTCAACTTCAACTCCACATCCAAACCGTACAAAGCAAAAATTCAGAAAAAGAGAACGTGAAGTTTTTTTTGGCTTACGCGGGCCTCGTCGACTACGGCTGTAGCACTCGGTCCCTACAAACGAACAAACGACCAAACAACAAAAACAGCGGTGAAACAAGGAACTTAATTAGAGAGGGCGGAGCTAGCTGCGGTGCCCAGGCTTTGCCGGGGTTAACCGTTCAGCACTTGCTACGGGTCCTCTGCGATCGTTCCACGACAACAGAGGGCCGTCGCCCAAAGTTGCCCAAGACCGTCAGTGGAGCCCAAGTCAAGGCTCCGGCCGCCGTTCTAGTTCCGTCGAACAACGGTCGGCCCCGAGGTCCTGTTGTGTCCCGATCGTGCACGCCAAAAAGTCCACAAGTCCAAAGTCCAAGGCCATCGGCAGTGGAGAGACCCGTCGACGTATGTCGAAAGGTTGGACCTTGAGCATCCCATGAGTCCAAGGTCAAAGGGCCTCGCTCCTAGGCAGGGGGCCATTCATCAAGCTTGCGCTGCATGTCGTTGCCACTTCGTGGAAAATAGATTCTCGCAGAAGGTACAGCAATTGAAACTGGCCCGCATCATACAAGGTTTTGAGGCGGTGAAAGCCGTACTGGAGGGTGTCTAGGTCTGGTTCATGAAGGTGCGGCATAAGCTCATTGGAAATGAAAGGGAGTTGGATGCCAGGGCCAAGTCCGCCCTGCTCGATGAAAGCATGGGCCACTGCACGCCACTCGTCTTGTCCCCACGTGTGTCCGAGACGATACCGCGGTTGGTTACCGTCGGGCAGAACCCCCTGATTAGCTTCCTGTGCCACTAAGTGATTGATCAGAACTTGGGCCCGACAGTCAGGCGGACAGGGAAGTAGAAGTCCATTTTCCGGGGGCCGCGTAGCCAGAACACAACAACGGCACTGAGCTCCCAACCCCGGGCGGTGGCAGCCGTGCGGAGACGACACAATGCGGCGTGCAAAAGTCCAGCAGACTGGAGGGGAAGAGCGGGCTGCGCCCGCAATCCCAGGGAAGCATCATCAAGAGGAAGCAGGAGGCGAAACGTGCCTTTACATTGGCCGGGGTAGGAAAACATCTGCGGATCGAAATCGCCGCGCCGTGCAGGGAGAAGTCCACGATGAAAGCCTTCCATCATGCGGGCAGCAATCGCGATTTGGGGTTGGCCAACCAGAGAGGTCGGGACCTCCGCCTTGACTCGGAGCTCAACAAACTGAGGGCCATTATGCTCGACTGGTGCAACACGTACAAGCTGCAAGAGGGGAGCCGCCTCAGGCTCGTCGGTCAGGGCCCTGGCTGGAAAGAAAACTAGCTGCACAGGGAGCAACACACCACAGTGGAGAAGTGGCGTGCCTTGCTGCGGATCTGCGTGCGATCCGCCTGCCGCCGCGGGTCGCCGGGCGTTGGAGCCGGTGCCACGGCGGCGTCTGCCGGCCTCGGCGGGATCTCTCCGAGGTGCGAGAGACATTTGGCCCACCAGGTCCCACACCAGCCACGGGCCTGCGCCGACACCGTCGAACGCCGACAGCACGATCACCTCGTCGCCTTTAGGTCGCCGGCCGGAGAGCTTCACTTTCTTGGTCGGTTGGTCGGGTACCCCGTCGTCAGCGGGGGCGCTCGACGGGGCCCCGTGCTGTCCCTAGCGGCGGTTGCCGCGGCCCTGGCCGTTGCCGCGCCACGGGCGTTGGCCTTCTGGCTGGCTGGACTGTCCGCCGTTGCCGCCGTGCCACCACTGTTGGTTCTTTCCGTCGGTCTTCTGCTGCCACCAGCCGGCGTTGGTGTCCTGCTCGTTCTTCTTGCCGCCGCCCTGGGATTGATCTTTGCCGCCGCGTCCGCGCCCTCGGCCACGGCCCCCTTGACGTCGTCTTTTGCGGCCACCGCGGCCGCCGCCTCCGGTCCATGCCTGCTGGTCGTCGGCGTCCTCCTCCTGGCCGTTGGGGGCGTCGGTGCGGTCGGCGATCTCCTTCTCGGATCTCTTGGTCGGGTGCGGCGTGGAGAGAAGGATCTCCTGCCACGTGGCCACGTCGTCCATGATCTCCTTGGTGGCCTCGCCGAAGGACTTGTTGTTCCTGAGTGCCATCGCCAGGTTCCACGACGTCCGCTGCCAGTATGCCTGGAGGGCTGCGACGTGATTGGACTTGTCCCTGGCGCGGGCGACGAACCAGTCGACATATGTCATGACGTCGGTCTCCTCGCCGATGCCCAGCAGGATCCATGCCCACCGGGCGGCGTTGGCTCCGTCGATAGTCGAGAAGAGGCCCTTGGGTACCCACTCCGTCGGCTCCTCCTGGAGCAGGAGGCCATGTTCCAGCCGCAGCGCCTTGGAGCTGGCGGCGGACGTCGACCTGGACAGCGCCAAAGGGTTCAAGGTCCGAGCCGCCGTCCAGGTGCGTCGTGACACGATCTCGCCGAGGGCAACCGGCGTATACATCTTGGAGGTGGTGTGCTCGAACCACATCCTGGCCAGCACCTCCTCGGCGCCAAGAAGCTCATGTGCTGGGAAGGTCCGCCGTTTCCCGTCGAGGCGCCGTTCCTCATAGATGTTGACCTGCTGGTTCCACGCCGAGAAGGTTTTGGGAGGCCTGTCAGGAATAGCCGGCGTGGCCGTCGTTGGCGGCGCCGCCGCCGGCGCAGGCATGGCAGCCGGGGCTGGGACCGGCGACGACGCAGCTGCCGTCCATTGGCGTGTGGCCTCGACGAAGAGGTGGGTCATGATCGCCGTGGCCACGTCGTCCTGCCCGTCCTCCACCTTGTGATCGGTACCGTCGATGCGGGTGCCGGTGATGTACGGGTGGATGATGTGCGTCGTGAACCTCTCGACGTCCTTGGCGATCAGGGCCAATGTGGGCGTCGTGGTGATCTTCCGGGCCGTGATGTAGTTCTTGATGCTGTCGTTGGCGCCGGCCGCGGCAAGGAGGTCGTCCAGCTGCACCATCGAGGCCGCGACCGTCGGGAGTGCCATGGCAAACAACACCTACGGCGTCCTAGGTCGGTTTCCGTGCTCGATAGAAAAAGGGGGGCTACGGGTGAGACATCCGTCGGTAAGTTCCGGGCGCGAGCCCTCGACGGTGATCTGATCTGGGCTGTGTGTGTTTTCCTGGGTCGTCGTCCAGTTGGTGCCATAGCCGTCGGGGCCGCACACGGCTATTGCCGGCGACCCCTCGGCGGAAAATGGTGACGGCGATCCGTCGGTCAAGCCCGGCGTCGCTCAGTCGGAGTCCGACGTCGCTCCGCTAGTGGAGGACGAGGAGCTCGACGACGAGTCGATCGCCTCCGGTGCCTCAACGTCGACGGTTTCCGTCGGGAAGCACTTGCGGCATAAGGCCGGATCCGGCGGCAGCTCGGACAGGCGAAAGAACTGTCGCACGCCGTAAGGCCAGCCGCACTTGGCCTGCCAGTCCGACCTCTCTGTCGTCGCTTCGTCGACCCCCGGCTTGTGCACCATTTTGGTGCGGCAGTTCATGACATACCGGGGCGCCGAGTCGTCGATCGCGTCGGCCACTGGCATCCTGGTGGGTTCTGGCACGAACTCCACGCCGGGCACCTCTGCTGCGAAGTCGACGTTGGGCACCATCTGCTGCGAGGCCGGCACCGCCGTATCGGCGTGCCCGGCTGCGTTCCCCGTCGGCAACAAGTCCATGATGGCCGGCGGCGTCGGTGTCGCCAGGGGCTGGGCCGGCGTCGTTGTCGACGCACTCGGCGCT